AAAACCCTGAGCTAGGAGCTGAGGTTTTGTACTTGGGATTTGGAGCTATTTACAAAGTAAGCAGACATAGATGGCTTGCCTTCAAACAAGTGATTTGAATAGAGGGGACAGAACCATGAAGTCTCTGGGAGAAAAAAACAAAGAATGCCATCAGTACTGGCCCACTCTCTATTTCCTTAAGAGACAACCAGAATTAGCCTGGGAGTTGTATACCAACACAATAAATTCTACTTTGGCTAAGCTAGTGTCACTTTTTTATAATCTAAGAGTCTAATCAGAAACAGAAAATGAAAAGCAAAACTAAAGTCAAGCTCTTGAACATAATGTACCAAGTTAAATGTAGACTTGTTCCTGATATCTACAGACTCACATTAGGTAATCTTTACAAACATATGTACTATGTATACATACTGTAGGTAAACTATTTCACTGCTTACCCATCCCACAATCCTTTCCAGAATCCAAGATTAGAGAATACATACCCTTCCAGCAGGATAACTGGATCAGCAAAGGAAAATTGACAAATCCAGTTAAAGCAGTAGGTGAAAAAGTCACCCAGAGATACTTAGCTAGATAGCAAGCCATTTACAATGCAAAAAGAACAGTCCAGTGGTCATATTGGGAATGATTCAAAGTCAGTTCATGGAATTATATAGATAAAGGCTCAGGTAGACAGTAAAAAACAAATAACAAGACCAGGAAGCCTTCAAATTACAAACAGCCTCTGGCTCTGACTGGTTTTAATAAGACTATACTTTTCCTCTGCCTTCTTTGCATAGTATCATTTTTCTAACAAAGTATTTGTTCTTTATAGTCCACAGTAGAGACTGGGACAGCATATACTAAAAGCATGAAAATAAAAGTGTGTGACGGAGGTGAAAGGAACCACACAACTTCAATGTAACAATTCTATGTATCAACGGCTTGAATTAAAATTGTGTGTGTGTGTTAGAATCCAGGGATGATTGTGTAACCATTACAGGCTGTAGCAAGGTACATCTAGCCCTTTCTACTGAACTTGGCACTCCCTGACTCCGAAGCCAAGCAGATTCAGACAGCAGGGATACCTGTATTGAATGACATGGAAAGGTGTGCATAATATATTACGTGAAAAAAGGTCACAAAGCAATACACATTGTAAGAATATTCATGCTTTACATATGTGTATAAAAATGTGCCTTTCACTAGGCATGGTGCACATGCCTTTAATGCCAGGCTCAGGTAGGAGGATCTCTGTGAGTTCAAGGCCAGACTGGTCTACAGAGTTCCAGGACAGCCAGGGTTCTGTTACACACACACACAAAAAAACATTGTCTCAAAAACTAAAACAAAATAAAAAGTGATTTTCTATTTTATCTGTGAAGAAGGCTGTATCTTGTTTGAAATTCTTATAAACCACAAAACACTCTACTAAAATGTTAAGTACAGATTCCTTTCAGAGAATGCAGTGTAGGAGTTGGTTTTGGTTTGGTTTTTTTCCTAGTGTTGGGAATCCACTCCAGGGCTTTGTTCATCCTCTATCACTGAGCTCTGTCCTCATCCCTTGGTATTGGGAGACAGAATCTATGTAGTTCAGATTGGCCTCGAACCCATGACCTCTTGACACTGACCGACAGACATGTGCATGCCTGGCTAACAAGGTAGGTATGAATACAGTGCTGGCTTTATCTCTCCTTACTATAGTTAAGAAAGTAAGTAGTCAGGAAGGAAAAAAGAAAAGATAGTGAAATGACCTAAAGTAACGGGCCTCAGGCTTCGTACTCTACACTAGCCCGTCTCTTCACCGTCCTCCCCATTACTAAGCACGTCACTCATGACTTACACTGCTGCTCTCTATGATTATCTGAGGTTAACTGCCGTCCACATACCCTCTGTTCAATGGCAATTCAACTGCTTCAGACAGCAGACTCTATTACAAGCAACAGAGACCATTCTCTGCCTTGGGAATATGTGTATTTTTAAACTCAGAGAAGTCAGTCACAAAGATCTCTTAATTCTACTCAGTATTCTAAAAGGTACCAAAGAGGCAACACAAAACTTTCCAAAAGGGATGTCATGTCAGATCAAAATATAGTCAATGTCTCAGGAATGTCTACTTCCATGCTCTGAATATAAATTGGAGAACTAAAGATACAGTGAACAGAGGCGGGCTCATCTGTGATTGAGGCTACTGTGGTCTATACATAGTTATATAACAGCTTCATGGAGAAACCCTGTCTCCAAAAATAAATAATTTTTAAAATATTTTTTAAAAATAAGATAAAATGGCACTAGAAAGGGGGAAGGAGCAGTCATTAATTTGTGTCACACCTCATCTAAGAACTATGAAGGGCATCAGGTAAACAAAGCAGATGGTATGATGGCTTACTTAGCATCCATTCTCAACCAATTCTACCTGTTCTTCACAAAGAAACCTAAAACTGGCTTTAAAAGTATTTTACTTGTGGTTATAATAAATGTGACACTGGTTAAGAAAATGTTCCATAAAGATGTCCATAACAGTGTATCTGCCATCAGAGATAAATTAACTTTTATATTATTAATCATCTCCTATCATGTTCTAATTGCTTGATTCCCTAATTCTATGTTTATCATATTCTATGTTTATGTAGGTCGTCTTCAAGCATATTTCCATAAATTATCCATAGAAATTATTTTCAAGTCAAAAAAACCCATTCCTATATATGGTCTTTATTAATCATTCAAGTTGGGTTAGACAAACTTTTACACGGATGAAGATGTAATTTAGTTGGTAAAGTGCTTACTTAGCATACAAGAGGCCCTGGTTTGACCTCTAGCACTGCCTAAATCACATGTCGTGACACACACATGTAAGCTCGGTACTTGGGAAATGGAGGCAGGAAAACCAGAACTTTGAGCCCAGCCTGGGCTACACAGTGAATTCCAGAATAGGCTGGGCTACATATGACTATCTAAAAAACATAATAAATCAAACCTAAAAAATTCCCTGAGGACAGAGCGGCGGCTTAAATAAGAATGGCCCCAATAGGCTCATACACTTTTTAATACTTGGTCCCTAGTCAGTGGAACTGTTTGGGAAGAACTAAGAGTTGTGGCCTTGTTGGAGGTGGTATGTCACTAAGGACAGGCTTCCAAGTTTCAAAAGACTGGAGCAGCCCCACTGCTCTTTTCTGAATTGTGGCTGCGTCTTAAGATAAGAGCTTCTCTGCTCCTTACAGCAACACTATGCATGCCTGACAGCATGCTGCTAAGCCCCCTGCCTTGATGGTCATGGACTCTAAACCTCTGAAACTGGAAGCCTCAAATAAACTTTTTCTGTAAGTTGTCTTGGTCATGGTATCTTATCACAGCAACAGAAAAGTAACTAGAATCAGGTTTTGTTTTGAAGAAAAGAGTTTATGAAAAACTTAGTGTGTGTGTGAATAATACACATGTATGTATGTATGTATGTATGTATACACACACTCACACACGTACGTATGAATGAATGAATGATATGCCTGTCTGTGTATGTGTGTATACAGAGATCAACGTTAGTTTTCATTATTGCTCTCCACCTTATTCTCTAAGAGAAATAGGGTTTCTCACCAGAGAGCAGTGCTGTTTTGGCTAGAATGGCTGGGCAGATGGCAAATGAGCCAGGGTCCTGCCGGAGTCTGCCTGTGGAGAGCTGGCAGATATACATGATGATGCTGAGCTTGGTATGTGATGCTGCAGGTCTGAGCTACAGTCCTCAGGCTCTGTGGCAAGCAGTTTACCTACTGAGCCATCACCCCCTCCCTTGTTTTCTAAAGCCACTATAAAATCGTCATTACTTACAGGACAGAATAAATAAAAGCCATAAAGTATAAGAAAATATTCCATACTCTCTTATCAATACAAATTACCGTAACAGAAGGTAAAAGGCTGCTGCTGCCATTCTAGAGAATAGTTATTTTTGAAGAGAAATCTAATTCTAAGACAGCGATCTTCTAAGATATTAAAAATACCTACACTGTCTCACAATGCACATAGATACGCTAGACACAAGGAATATTCAAATTCATAAAAGTCTGCAGTATTTATAAAGGAGCAACAAAACAGGACTAAAGAAAAGCTCTCTCCAAACTGTAGAAAGCTGGCCACAAATTTTTTTCAAAAAAAGTTCACCAGCAACCATTCCTCCAAACAGGTTTTCTATTCTTTGGTCTGGTTAGAAAAGTTGCTCAGCTGTCAACTAAATCAAAAGCTGAGCTTGGTGAGACCTTCTTTCAGTTCCAGCACTGAGACAGGAATGACAGTTCAAGGCCACCCTGGGCCATTTAGGAGACTGTGTCTCAAAACAAAAGACAACTGAAAAAGTTAAGACCCTGTCTATCCAATGGCCAAGAGGTTAACCATGTTCATTCTTCTGAGAACCCAATGAAAGGTTTGACAGGAATATGAAAATGTTTACCAAAGTGTCAGAGAATCACACCTAGAAGTGAAGAACAATTTGAACCAGTGGGCTCAGTTGATAATTCTATTTAAAGATGATATAAAGAATAACCAGAGGCTCTGGGCAGTAGTGGTCCATGCCTTTGATCTTAGCACTTCGGAGGCAGAAGCAGATGGATCTTTGAGTTTGAGACCAGCCTGGTTTACAGAGTAACAGGACAGTCATGTTCTACAGAGAAACCCTGTCCTGAAAAAAAACAAAAATGAGACAATAACGGGAGCCACTGACCATTGAAAAAGTTAACACACACTAAGTCACTATAGAATATTATGTTTTCTTTTAAAAATAAGATTAGCTTCTTGGTGGGGGGTGGGGGGGAGCACCATCTAATTAACTAAAAGTTTTAAAGGAGAAATCAAGAATGGTTTCTATTTTCCTCAACCAGAAGTCCCAAAGGAAGTTTTGTAACTATGAAACACGGCCTGGTGCCCCTGTTGCCACATGGTGGAAATAAATGTACAATGTCTTCAGCTCACCTTGACCAATGCATTCTAACCACTAGAAACTAAAGCCCACGGAAAAAAACATAGAGCAACATTACCATACTTGGTGCCTCCAAGTTTAGGGACATTGAAGAACTTCTTCTGTGAATTGCCATTTAATGTTTCAATAAGGTACTCAAAGGTGTGTCCTGGAGAAGAAAAAGCACAAAGGCCTTTCATTAAATACATTCAGAACATTAAATACAGTTACCAAGAACCTTATTCAAAGAGAAAACACCCAAAATTTGGTTCAGCAGAACTTTGTCGCTTATGAAAATGTTGCATATTTGCATTACCCAGTAGGGCAGTTATGGGCCACAAGCCCCTACTAAGCGCTTGAACTAAGGTGGCAGGGATGGAGTGCTGACTGTGCCACACTACAGGCACAAGACTAGTCTCCATCATACTCCAAGAGTACAAGTTCAAACTGTGACTCTTGTCAAGGAGAAACTAGTAAGACAATTTACTACCTTGTCTGTCGACACAGGGTGTGTTACTAAAACCCAGATTGGACATCACCTCACTGAGCAACCCAGGAGAGCCTCCAACTCGGGGCAGCCATCCTCTGCCTCTTCAACACTGGGATTACAGGAATGCCCACCCAGTGGCTTTTCAATCTTAAAAATGTTAAATGTCTGCATAGAGACAATAAGCATGGTTTAAATGATGTACAAGCATTCAGAAATCATGCCCTGAACATTGCTTAAGTACAGAGAGAATGTTTTGAGAAAGCCATTGTTAGAGGTTTTCAAAAGGCAATCATCCAACAATAGAATACTAAAGTTTTTTTTAAAGTGCCCATCAAAATATCTTGATAAACTGGCACATTAGATTCTCCTAAGAGACATACCCTTAATGGTTCTGCACTAACTGAATATGCCCCCACTCAGTGTTGTGGGAAAGGGTTAGGCAACCTTGGGGTAGAAAAAAATTCACTATGCTGCCTCATTACGTGGATGGGTGAGACTCTTAAACATTCGTACGATCTTCTTCCAAAACCAGAACAGATAAGCACAGTCCACTCGTGATGGAGAGTGTTTTTCTTTTGTGGAGGGAGGTGGATGGGGGAGGAGACGGCAATAAAGAATCAGGGAAGCGGCTAACGTTCAGCCTCGACAGCCCCTCCACTTCCAGGAGCAAAGAAAGAGGGAGAGACTCCAGGCTGCTGGGTGCAATGAACAGCCAGCAGAGCGGACCCTAAACAAGGGACCCTCGGTGCTCACAAAGGGGGCGGGTAGAGAAAGACGTGGGTTTGTCCCTGCCCCGGTAGCTACTCCAGGGGGCCTGGAGGCTGCAGACAACAAGCAGCGGCCCCGGCCAGGGGCGGAATCAGCGCCCGCTGGAGAGCGGGACGCCGGAGGGGAGGCCTGGCTTTCGCGGCCTCCGCCCCGAGGGGAGAGAACGACCAAGCCCTGAGGGCCCGGCCGGCCCCCCTTCCCCCGGTGACCGTAAGAAAAGCCAAGCAAGGGCCACGGCGTACGGCAGCGCACGCCTCCAGCCGCCAACGCTAAGGCGGCGGCCGGGAACTGACCTGCACTTGGGGAGTCCATCGCCGGAGACCATATTATCCCTGCGGGGAGGGGGCCGGCGGGGGAAGGAGGGGGAGGCCAGGCCGGGAAGATAGGGAGGAAGACGGGCGGACTGGCAGGGGGAAGGAGGAAGGAAGCAGTCTCGCGCAGACACCGCGAGAGCCGCAGAGCTGGCCCGGGGTCCACGCTCGCGGGATTTGCCGGCTAACTCTCGCGAGATCTTCGGACCGGCGAAACAAAGAGAGAGAGGGGCGGAGCCAGCTAGTAGGCGGGTCTCTGCGCAGTCTCTGTTGTTCTCCAGACTGGGGTGGGGGCGGAGCCCTGAGAGGTAGTCACTTTGACGACGGGACGCCATAGGTTCCGTTACTTTGTTATGACCTAGAAGTATTCAATGAGATTTTGAAGTCCAGCGATGTCTGAAGGGTGTCTTTTGAAGGAAAAGAGTCAGGATTAGGACTCAAGTTCTCCCTGCATGGTAAAGCCTTGTGTTGAGCTGTGATATATGAGGTGCCCACTCGTGCATTCTCAAGAGACACATGGGCAATCAACTAATTGAATGAATTAAAATTTCCAAACTTTCCTATAACTTCGACCTTTCTCTTCCCAGGATCTGTTAATCGTGATTGTGTCTTAAGTCCCTCTGCCCCAGCCAGGGAGAGTCCTTATGTCTTCCCTGTCTGCTTCTGTCTTTTGGTTAGCGGGCTCTTAGGAGTTGCCTGATTCGTCCTTCTCTTCCCCACTCCTATTCCTTCCCAGACTGGTTTCCGCTTTAACATTTTAAAAATGTCTTTGTTAAGGTAGGCATAACTATTTACTAATACATTTCCCAGTCCTCCCTTTAGCTGTTTGTTTGGTATGTTTGTTAAGACATCAGCTTCCAGGATTCCAAACCTATCCTGCCTCTAAGCCTACTTCATCTCAGTCTCCTCTGCCAGGGCCTTTCGCTGCCCAGCCATTAAGTGTACTGGCATTAACTCTATCTCCTGATGTAAGCTTTGCACCAGATTTCATTTCTCTGGCTCACTTCACCTCTCTATTGGTTCCAGTTATCTGTTCATATGCTAATACTCCCTAACCTACCTAGAACTCAAACCCGTCTCCTAAGCTTAAAGGAGTATATCCTAACGCTTGTGACCACAGCACCTCTTATGCAAAACCTCTCCAAAACCATCACCACAACCACCACCACCCAAGCCAGTGAGTCCTTTTGTGTCACCTTTATTGGCAAATGCCACTGCCTAAGCACAAGCCAGCACGCTGTCCTTGACTCTTCTCTTCCTTTACTGTTGCTAGAAATCCACTTGATCTATTCACTTCCTAGTTATTTTGCTCGTTACCACTCTGGTCTTAACAACTGTGACAATCTTCTCAGAAAGTCTCTAGGGCTTGACTATTCTCATAATCATCTCCATGAAACTGAAACAAACTAAAAAGGACACAGGAACCAAACTCACATACCAAGGAACTGAGTCTGGATTTGAACTGCATTCAGATGGAAGGAAGAGCTCATGCGTAAGGAGTTCGTGAGGCTGAGTAGTGCCTAGCACCTCTAGGTATCTCAGTTTCTTTTCGCTTGGAACACTGCCATGTACTGTTGCCTAACCCTTACCCACTCTTTCAAGACTCGGGTTTTTTGTTTTCTTTTTACATTTTAAAGATTAATTTATGAGTGTATCTCAATGTTAGTGTCATGTGTGTGCAGGTGCTCAAGGAGGCCAGAAGAGGATACCTTAATTACCAACCTATCTCTCAGATCTCATGGTTTTCAGTATTTAGTGTGAGCTTTTGAAAATTTGTTTGTTGTGGTCCTGGGGATTGAACTGAGGTCCTCTACAAGAGCACAGGTAGTCTTAATTACTCTCCATCCCCCATGGCAGTCTCTCATACATCCATGCTACAACAGTAAAATTCAAGAAATTTAGCATTGGTATAGTACTATTAATATTTACACTTTATGTATGTGAAGAATCAACCTTATTAATATTCTATAATCAAACACTGACATCATTTACAACCAAATTTTAAAATTTTGCCAGTTGTTTCAATTGTTTATCTTTGTTTTATGTATTTGTTTTGAGATATGGTCTTTCTGTGTAGCCCTGGAAGATCTGTGTTCACTATGTAACCCTGAAGGGACTCTAGCCTGCCCAAGCATGGCAAACATGGTTCTGGCAGGCCCTGTCCTTCTCCTCCATTCCCTCTGCCTTGCTGAAAACTATTAGATTACACTTCTAAAGCAAGAAAGCAAGGTCTATTCCCTTATCTGGCTACTTCTTCCTCCTGAGGCTGATGACAAAGGTCCAGCTATTAAAATATTGAAATCCAGCAATCAAAAGCCCTCTTGACCCACCTAATTAACATGCCCAATTAAATTTAAAACCTCATCCTAACGTGGGTTTCCTGATTTACCTTTATAAACCGCCATTTGCCTACAAGGCTTGTCTGTTTATCCTGAGGCAGTCCTTCGCTCCCCACCCCCACAAAGATGCCCCTTCCACCCTTTCTCCCTTGCCCTCTCTCTCTTGTCTTTGTCCCCATCCCTGTCCTCTCTTCCTCTAGGGCAAATAAATCTCTTTTTTGCTGAGAACTTGGTCTTGGGGGGTCTTGAGCTGACTCAGATGATCCCTAAAAGCCCACACTAGCTTCAAACTTATGGCAGTTCTCCTGCCTCAACTGGTGTTACAGACATGTGCTACCATACCTAGATAGTATTGCTTTCCTAGAAACTTCCTCTCCACCTAACATCCAATCCTGTCTAGTCTGGGCTTAGGATAGTTTTTTTTTCTTTTCTTTTCTTTTTTTTCTTTCTTTCTTTTTTTTTTTTTTTTTGGTTTTATGAGACAGGGTTTCTCTGTGTAGCCCTGGCTGTCCTGGAACTCTGTAGACCAGACTGGCCTTTAACTCAGAAATCCACCTGCCTCTGCCTCCCAAGTGCTGGGATTAAAGGCGTGCGCCACCACCGCCCGGCTTCTTAGGATAGTTTCTTAGCTGCTTGTTTTCCTTGGTGCTGTTGGTATTTTTCAAAGCATACAGTTGTTTTGGAAAATGTTCATGAGTTGGAGCTTACCTCATGTTTCTTCACGCTAAGGTTCATCAGGTGAGTCCAGCCCTTAGCTATTGCACCACAGCAGTCTCAGATACAAAGTTCATGAAAACTTACACAATCAAGTTCTTTAAAAAGTATTTATTTACAATGTTTACGCTCTATAATGGCAAACACTATAAAGTGACATCACCACACGAGCCACTGGAACGACTTGTACTGAGTGTCTCGGTGATGTCACCTGGGGCTTTAGGATGTGTACAGAGTAAGCACTAGATTACTGCTTGTAACAACAATAGAGGCAACCTCAGTGCCTGCCAAAGGAGCCTGCGTTAAAAAGTCCAGCGTGCTCACAGAAAGGTACACTACGAGATGTTGAAAGTGACCTTGAGGCACCTGTATGTCAATACAGATGAAAATTATACAGTATCATTTGGTTTTAATTTATTTTTAATAATTTTGTAACATGTATGTAATGTATACCTCTCATATACCCCTCCTACTTCCTCTGAAATCCTTCCCAACAAGTCTCCCTCTTATTCTCCCTTCTCTTTCATGATCCAGCGAGTTCAGTTAGGGTCGCTTACCTGTACATGGTTGTGGAGTCGTGTACAGGATCATTGGTAGCATACCCATGGTATATATATGTACAACCCTGAAGAGAAGCAGCGTTCCCTCCCCCAGCAGCCAGTACTCATAATATTTTAAGTACCTTCACAGTTCCGTGTTTGTCCACATTTGTAGGCTCCTTGGCAACATATGGCTCTTAGGCTCTGGGTGGAAGCCCTACGACAGAAGGAGCATTTGGGACAGGAATGCTATGTAAATGATGCTGTGTTCTTTCTCGTGTGTTGTATCAGGGGCGCCTGATTTTACTTAGTTCCCTTTCTGTTGGTAACCAAGGTGTCTCTTGGGGTGAGGGTAGAAGACACAGGGACATTTTGTTTGGTTTTATGATTTTGCTCTGTAGCACAAGCTGGCCTGGAACTTGCAGTCTTTCTGCCGCATTACAGGTATACACAACCATGCCCAAATTCATCCTCGGCTCCAAACCAGAGCAGAATGTTAAGTCCAAGTCCACAGGACTCTAGAGACACTGTTTACCCTTCCATGTCCCAGAGGTAAGATGAGGTCTCCGGTCTAGTAGAGGTGAGGCTGGAAGCTCTCTCAGCCTTTGGAAGTCTTAGTCTGACCTTAGTAGCTAAGGCCTGAGGTCTCCCATGTTCAGCCAAAGTATAGTTTAGTTCCATTGACCAAGCCTGTTTTGATTGTTGATGTTTGCAAAATAAATAGCATATATTAGATTTAAAAAAAACCATGGTAAATATGAGTGCCTGCCATTCTGTGGATCACGTTTGAAGCCACTGCTGAATCTGACCATGGGTAAGATAAGAGTGATTGATGGCCAGCCCTTGATATGTGCAATCAAAGAGAACTATTGTACAGCCAGAACAGGTCACTGTGTGTTCTGCCAGTCTAGCCAAAGGAATGCCAATTAAGAGTGTTTTTTTTTCTTTTTACTAGTAATAATATAAAACTGTAACCATGTATAGAGAGAAAACAGGAAAATATACAATTTCATTTTTTAAGTTTTTAGAAATGAAGGTTGCTGGGATTACACTGGGGAGGCTGAGGCAGGAAGATTGCCCTGAGTTCTAGGCTAGTCTGAGCTATGGTGTGAGAAATTCTCTTTAAAAAATAAGAAGAGGTTTTGTAAAGTCACTGAAATCTCTGCTGGGCGCATATGTTGAAGACTGTTGATATAGGCTTGTGCTGGAGAGAATCTTTCTTGTAAGTGTTCTAAGATACAAAACAAAACCCGAAGAGTAAAGGGCTGAAGAAATGACTTAGTGGTTAAAAGCTCTGGCTGTTCTTCCAAAGGTCCTGAGTTCAATTCCCAGCAACCACATGGTGGCTCACAGCCATCTGTAACGGGATTTGATGCCCTCTTCTGATGTGCATGAAGACAGAGGTGTTAGCATTTTTTTTTATTATTTATTTATTTATTGTATGTAAATACACTGTAGCTGTCTTCAGACACCCCATAAGAGGGCATCAGATCTCATTACAGATGGTTGTGAGCCACCATGTGGTTGCTGGGATTTGAACTCATGACCTCCAGAAGACCAGTCAG